GTAGTAGGTATTTTAAAGGTATTTTAAAGATACAAACATTGTATTCTACAAGAAAGATCTCTGGTTATGTTTCAGTAAAACATATCACAGAAGTTTCCTTTGTATTTCCTTTAGATTTAGTGACTGTTGGATTTAGGTTTGATTGCCTTTTATCAGTTGGATGGTAAACTGTGAGTTAGACTTGCTTTCTAAATACTTTTGCATATGAAATTCACATTTCCTTTAATAAATGCAATTATAAATAATAAATGCAAAAAAAATCAACCTCATGAATTTTAGTTGATTAGTTTAATTAATATATCTTAAATCTGATTAAAAATATTTTTCTGAAACCATCCACTGGGTCAGAAGTCCAAATATTCAGCCAAAATATTTCAATCCGCATTTTGTTTTTATTTTTTTTAATTGATTAGAGTAGTTTCATACTTTTTAGACTTCCACCGAGTCACTTACCAATTGAAGACGCACAGTTGAAGCACAGACACAAAACAAAAGTCCACCCAGCTGCGTGCATCTTCCTCAGCATGTAGTACAATGTGAGCAGCACCCTGGTGATGGTGTATTAACCTGTTTGAGCATCAGGGTACACGCAAGACCACAGGTTCTATTTAAAGGGTCCACCCGGAAGTATATTTGGCACTGACAAAAAAAAAACGGGTGGGTGGGCCTAATTCAAACACAACTTTCAAAATAAAGGTATTTTTTCATTGGTGCAGTGTGTACAGAGAAAACAGCCAAACAGAGACGTACTTGTTGTGCAGTGTAGCCTTTAGTGGACGATTTTAACTTCTTTTTTTAACTTAACTTTGTCTTGTGTATCCTGTTATGATCTCATTATGCATCATATCCAAGCTTGCTTTTGCAAAACAAAAAGCAGAAGAAACACATTAATCAGTAAATTACTTTTTGCTAGCAGGACAGAAAAGACCATCAGTTTGTCATTTTGTTCAGTGTGCGATGTGTGGTGTTAAATTTAAGGTGAGGGAGCTCTTAACAATTAGTGTTATCATAATAATCTACACCAGTGTCTGCATTATGGACGGGCTCCAGGGGTCCAGGCTGTCCAAAAAGGTCACTTTTCCCCATCAGCTGAATTCTACTGACCTACTTTGACAGTTATAAGTAAAATTGAGTAGATTTGGTAATAAAATGTGTTTTTATTTATGCATTTTTTAGGTGTGCTGAATCTAATTTCCCCTGTTCAAGCAAGTTACCCATCCAGTCCATCTGCTCTGGCGCTGACCATGCACAATACAATTAAAACTATTGTTTAAAATAACACATCATCATTCTGCATGATATGGCTGATTAATGAGTCTGTATCAATGGTGTCAAACCAACATAATTTTTTAAAGTTTTTTCGAAGTTGTTTTTTTTCCCCGTTTTTTTTTTTATCTTGGTTTTGCGCTTCATTTTTTTTTTTTTTTTTTTTTTTTTGTGCTATGCGAGGTATGTAGTTTGGACTCTTGCTTTATTTGTGTTCTGGTTACCATTTGTTGTTTAGGGATTTTGAATGCTTGTGAATACGATTAAGTGTCTCATCTTAAACCCTTAAATTCTAAATTTGAAGCTCTTGAGTGGGATCCATGTTTATGATTTTTGAGGTCGATTCCTGTTGTACTTTGAAAGATGTTATCTCTGGTATCTTGCTGTGACTTTTACTTCCTGCCCACCTCCCTCACTCACTCTCTCTCTCTCCATGAGCAGCACTTGATCCATTATAAAAAAAAAAACATGCTTGTTTGTTTAAACCCATGCACAAATGTGAAGATTTGCAATTTTAATTGAATTTGAATGGATATTTTCAAATTGTACTTTTTCATTTGCTTCCACATGACGTCAGCTGTTAGCGAATGTAGTTCATTAGAGATCGATTCTAGTACAATTTGAATGAGTCAAACAGATTTACAGAACAAAAGCTGACACTGTTTTGTAGTTGCATAAACAGCCATTTGTTTGCAGTAGATCTATATTTATATCAGATCTATATCCGACACTGAAAAATGTTAATGTGCTAGCTGACATAGGGCGACATCTACTGGTCTTTTATCATAACTACTCGTAACAACAACACTGCTGTTCACACAACATCTGCATCTGCTCCTTGCGTGCATCTGAACAGACAACCTGTTGACCACAGCTGGACTGACCATGGGGCATACAGGGCATATATCGGTTTGGATATCTGGTGAGAGGGAAATATGAAGATGAAAACGGGAGATGTCCTTACTGAATGAGAGCTGAACAGGTGATGGAGAAACAGGTTTACCTTTTAGGTGACGAATGAGTTGAAGGGAAGTTACGAACCGTTTCTGACAGTTGCTGACAGCTGGTAACTGTACTGGGACGGGTCTAAAGGTTTGCCTTGGGTCAGGTAGGGCATTAACAGGGAAAGGGGGGCACAAAGAAATAGTTCTTTCTTATTCTCATTTAGAATGTCTAGCTTTTAATAAATAATTATCAGAATCTTACAATCAAAGTGGTCATCTGATTTAAAATATATAGAAATCATACATATATACCAACAGGACAGTGTACACCACTGTCACAAAAGCGTTTTTGTTCATTTAAAGGCTTTATGGCTTTTCCTATATTACCTAGTACGCTGGTTTTTAGTCAAAATGCCCAGGCTGATTTTTTGTCGCAGTCCAGCCCTGCTGCTGACACAAACAACCCAAAGTGACAATAAAGCTGTGCAGTGACTGGAGGATTATAGAATTAAATATGTGATCAAATATTATAAGGAAAACGTCTTTTGGGAGCCAAGGTACAATTTAATATCCATTACAAATTGTACAGTTCTTGGTTGATTTGATTGTCATATAGTGATCCAGGAGGTCTTCCTGATTTATGCACTCCCCCAAAACAAAGAAAAACAATCTTTTGTTCACAGTGTTACATGTTAATGTGTGGGATCAGTGTTATTTTTAGATTTATAAGACAAAAGATGAACAGTTTAAAAGTCGATTTCCCACTACTGCAAGGCTGCAGGCTCCCTGGCCCCTTAGAGATCTCTACATTTCAGTAGAAATGCACCTGTAGGAGAAAAGGTACTGTAGCAAAGCTCAGCGATAAAATGATACAAATTCTCTACAAATTCTCTTTAACATACCAGGTTTTCAGCTGTTGGGGATTTCACAAAAGAGAAAAGTCTAACCACAAACCACTTGTGAATGGAGGATTATCCTAGTTCTGTATTGGAAACTTGCAGCATAACTGTTTTGTGGCTGTCACTAGCAGCAGTTTCCATCTTTGTTGGCCATCTGAGTCCTCAGTCGGTGTAGCCCAGCTGTCCTCCGGCAGCAGAACAAAGTCCCTGTCCTCTAGTTTGACTACAAACAGCTCCACATACACGGGCTGGCCACGCTCAGCTACTATTGGATGGTAAAAATGGGAATAGAAAGACCTATATGAGAAATCTGCAGATAAACATGTCTGAGTAAGACCCACCACATTTTAATCATATTAACAAATACAAAAAATATTTTTTAAAACAAAAATAGGAATGAAACTTTGACTTTTGGCAATTCTCAGTTCAGTTCTTGTTCCTTTGCTCCTCAGTTTAAGTGGGCGCTCTGACTTTTTTTTTGCTGAACCCTGATGCCTAGTTGAGTCATTTGAGTTAGTGCAAAGCTGCACTGCACAGTGAGACAAAAGGAAAAGGAAACTAGAATGAGTGACAACTATCTTTAAAAAAAAGTGTGAAGTGTGTCATCGTCCACTGTGCAGTACTTAATTTACATGCAATAACTCACACTGTAAATATATAACATTATTTATATTCTAAAGGCTGATGGTTACCATAGACCGAGTGCCACAGTCACTGAACAGAAAGATGAAAGTGATGGCATCAGCTCATCTTTTCTTGGGTTTACAGTTGGGATTTTGGCCAGAATGAATCCAGACTGTATCCAGATTCAGAGGGAGCATTCTTGCAGGCTTGTGTATGGTAATGTTGAAGCCATCTTTGCTGCAGAGAAACTGCTTTGATGACACTTCTGTGGAAAACATGCTTGAATTATTTGATAAACAGAAACTAAAATATATTGTGATATTTCTGTGCATTACCTTTCATCTTCCTTTCACAGATTAGAGGCAAAGACTCAACACTTTTCTGACTCAACTCTGCCACTGCTGGCACGTGCTTCAATGAAAATGGTTATATTTGTGTTATATTTGTGTTGCGTTAAAGAAAAGTTTTGAAAATAAAAGTCCTTTTAGAAGAATACACAATGGGTTTATCTTACTTTTCTTTCTCACAAAACATCCCCAGGATGCAACTGTTAAGATAACCAAGCTGTTACTTTCTTGCAGGAAGTAGTGGCGCTGCTTTGCTATAGCAGTGACTTGGTAATATCCGCTGTGGTCATCTGAGTGTGAATCAATAGAAATAGAAGCACAGACACAACAAACATTTCAAAGCTCCACGCACTTTGAAAGCTACATACCTGTACATATATTGACAGCGCATGACTTACCGTAAACGTAAATGGCCATTAAAAAGATCTGTGAATTTAATCTTTGATATATAGAGAGACATGAGCTCCTCACAGCAAATCAAAGTGGCCTTTTTGATTTTCACAGTGTTTCGAAATAGTTTTGAAACAGCCAGGGTTTTACATTTCAGAATAGGCAGTGAAAAGAAAGTAAATGTCACCAGAATAAACTTGGTCTTCACTCGTGGTTGCTGAGTCTGAGTGCGAGGGCGCCGCTGGTTGTTGTTAGCTTTAATTGCCACCTCTCCCACCAGGAGGGTAAAAGCAACCCAGCAGATCAGAAAGTGATCTGCAAACTGATGCAGCCAGTAGACAGTGAGGTGTCTGCCCACACAACATGAGCATCGTGTGGTCACCCTCTGGTGTTATCAGTTTTTCAAGATGGGTTTCTCCCCAACTTGTTAAAGTTACAGTCACTGCGTGCGTGTGTGTGGGGGGGCGGGGGATTTTGTTTCTAAGAAAAAACATCTTGAATTTTTCTCTTTAAAATAATAGAAAGGCAATAAAACAGTTTTTATTTTTTAGAAAGTCTTATTTCAATGTCATACACACAGGCTCAATACAACAATCTGTAAGTTTAAACAGCACACATCTCTACAGTCACACAACTCTGTACATAGTGGTAAACATATCAATAGAAGACATTTTTAGTATATTCATCATGCAATCAGTTTATATGTGAAGACACTGATGAACTTTATTCTAACAGCATTCAAGAGAATAGTGGAATGCAGCGCACTTACAGTACAAACAAATACAAAAGACATGGATCACCTTAAAGGAGTAAAATAGAAAAGAATTCGTAGCCCTCATTCTCAAATGAGATTTAAACTCCTTCATTCGTGCCCTTCATTCTCTACAGCTGGCTGAGCTGTTCGGTGCTCATGTTGTAAATCGGGTTTTTGTATTCACAGTCTGAGAGGGAAAGAGTGGAAAATCGGGAGAGCAGTTCAGTGCACAGTATTATTCCATCTCTAACATGCCCACAGATGAAGTCAGCACTCACTGTCTTTGTTTTTCTTCTTCTCGCGGCCTGCTGGTAAAGAAACAGGTGAGGAAAGAACAGAAGTCAGTGTTTTGTGCTTATTCTCCAACAGTGACAAATAATTCTGATCATTTGGAGAAAACTCAGCGAACACTAACTACCTCTCTTTTGATTCTCCGCCTGCTTCGACTTGACGTGTTGCTTGCGGAGATCATGTTGGTTTACTGTGAAATAAAATGGATGAGTCAAAATCAGACAGAACTGAAATGATGATAGCATCATTATAAAAATAAAAGATGACTAGAATTGCTCATTCTACCGTAATAATGCTGACTGAAACTTGGTGGCCGTAATCTGCTGAAAAGCTCTAATGGGGTAAGAGAAGATGGTTACTTCACACTATTACAATTTAGAAGTCACCAACAATGCAAACTGCAGTAAGCATATTGACTTTTTCTAAGCACCTAAATGAAATCTATGTTTGGTTCTCTGACTTTCCACCCTTTCAAAGCGAAACTGATCCAAATTTGGATAAATTCCACCGCTGCTTTGACCAGACTGTTGAGGCTGGGTCCTGTCCAGATACTGCACAGCTCCGTGTGGATTACTTCTGGTGGGGTCAACACTGGTTGGGAACTGGTCATCATTTTCTATTGTTTGAGAACATTATATACTGAACTTTTTTTTTTCATTTTTCAGTTGATATACAATGACTTCAAAATGTTTGTTTAATAGTGAGGAAGAGAAGAAAAAGATGAGTAAACTCACCATAAACAAGATCATGAGTGTAGGGTCTTACTGCCTGTGGTACATGTACATGCACACCTACTGGTATGTTGATTGTTGTCACGGGTGGGGCACTGGGACCTGCAGTGAAACATTAGCAGAGTAACTGAAAGAGCTCTTCTGTTTGGTTCTGCTAAACATGAAGACAGCTTCACAAACAAAAAAGGGATGAATTAAATATGCAATTAACTGTCAAAGAGTGAATAAATGGTTGAAATAGCACCTTTAAAGTACGTTGGTTAACAATTGACCTAACAGTTACTTAATGATATTGATTAAAAACATCAAATTTTGTAAAAGTATAAATGAACAGCTGAAAGGTAGTACACAGTCTATGATTTGATAGATAAAGACATGTTTTGTAGTTTTACCTCTGTATAGTGTGTTATGTATATTGTTGATATTATAATGCAAATTCACATGAACATTAAACATAATGGATAGCCATGAAAGTGATACTTGTATATGTATTTTATGCATCTGTCATACAATTTTAAACAGTAAGAAAGTAGTTAAATGATTTTAAAGCAAACGTTATTCTCTGTGAATACAAATTTCAAATGTCTTCTAGTTTACATCGAACAAATGAACATTACTGGAGTGACACAGAGTTGAAATTGTTGCTTACCCGGAGCAGCTGCACTACTGGGAATGACCGTACTCTTCTCTACTTTGCTGTTGCTTTTGTTGTTACGGATATCTACATCAGAATCAAAAAGTGAGTTCAATATACAATGAGCCTCCTAAACAATCACTAAAACACTCAGCTTTGACTTTAAATTTCAGACAGAACAATTCTCACCTTTGCATTTTTTGTAAGTGTAGTAGCCACCAGTACCCAGCAGAAATAGAGCAGTCACACCAGCACAGATGTATATCACCAGCCATGGGATTTTTGTACCTGCATGAAGAGTTGCGGTTTAACAAGATCTATATCACAGGAAACAGAAACTTATTTATTTGTCCTTTTCGTGTGTGCTGGGTCTTGACATTTGTCATCCAAGGACAGAAGAAACAGTACAGGCCGCTGCTTAATATTGAATAAACTTAAAATCTACAAGTAAAAATCCACTTACCTATTTCATCCAGCACCACTAGAACACATTTTCCCTCCTCCTGTATACAGTGGTAAAATCCTATGTCAGCCTTTTCAAGATCATCAATTCTGATAGAGTAGTTCCCCTCTGAGCCCTGGTTTGGAAAGACTTTCACTCGGCCATTTCTGGGGTCCAGGAATGTAACGTGCCCTTTTGATGAGAGATTGAGCAATTGCCCTGAGCCACTGTAGTTCCACGTCACCCATTTGAACTTGCTTGTTTGAATGTTGCATGGTAGAAGCACAGATGAACCAAGTGGAACCTTCAGTCTGTGCTCTTCACCGATTTCTCCTAAATGTTCACAGGAGTCTTCATCATAAAGGGAAAAATGAAACAAAATAGAAAGTTTAGGTCACTCCCTTAAAGGATGTGGATTGTGACAAAGACTAATAATGTATAAGTGATAACCTTAATCATGCTTTTTAAAACCATTAACAATCTTATATGGCCCACCCACAAACAGGTAAAAAATGACCCTGTGTTACTATATCAAGGAGAAAAAGATCTTTTATGCAAATGTTAAAATAAAGTTAAAAATCAAGCAGATATACTCTTTAAAATGCAGATAAACAACAGTTTAGTTAAGTTTAAGCCAAAGTTGAACATTTCCTTTGTGTTTTCTTCAGGTGTTATGAGTGATCTTAAGATCACTTCATCTTTAGAAAAGAGGTTGCTGGTAGACTTTAGATCGCTGAAAGTTTACCTTGTTTCGTTTTCAGAATAGTTTTAATAATATTTAATAATATTATTATTTTGTGAATTTGCTCTGCAAATACCTTTGCATGACATAGAGTTCACCTTTTCTGCAATAAACACAAGTTGCCATGTGTCACTGTCAGAAAAAAACACATTGTCCCACCTCCGCACTGAGGTCTGGTTGGAATCCCTCACTGGTCATTCAGACCAAGTTTATTATTTAATTTAACTCTGTAGATGTCTCTTTTTAAAAAAAAATCCAATGTCATGTCCCAGTTTTGCAACTGGTTTTAACCAGCTTGCTCTAAGATAGTTTATAGAAGATTTTACCCTAACATGATAGTTAAGTGATAGTTTAACGGTCTAAATACATTAAGTGTACTTTTCATTGGCCAGATTCTGAGCTCTTCACTCAGTAGAGTCAAATATTTACAAAAAGAAAAGAAAAAGAAAAAAAAGAGAGAATTGGAAGAAAACCTGACAGACTTATGTAGACATATATTTTCTAAACATTACATTAAAACTGGTTATTATTTTTTTACATTTTTAACATTATATTTTAAGATTTCTTAAAAAAACAAAAAACTTACCATTTGAAGAAACACAAGTGAAGCACAGGGCAAAAAGGAGAGTCCACCTGGCAACGTGCATCTTCATCACCATCTTGTACAGTGTGAGCAGCACCCTGACGATGATATATTAACCTGTTCAAGCATCACGGAACAAAACCACAAGACCACCAGTTTCACTTCTTTGAAGAAATTCTTTATATTAACTGCAGCCAGATTAACGCAATCATTATTTTAACTGAGCAGCAGTCATGAAAAAACCCCCAAATGAAACCAAATGACTAAAAAAAATATCTTTCAAACAGTGATAATGTACTTTTGACAGACAGCAGAAAGGACCTGATGCAAAAGTCTGCTTCAGACCACTTCCTGTGGAAATGATGTTGATGTTTCCGGAGTACGAGATACAAAGAAAGATAAATATATGAAGTGATCATTGTCATGTTCAATGTCACATGCAGGTTTTCTTTTAATCAACATAAGATCCAAGTGTTGTGTTTTAAGTGAATTGGTTAATCAAAATTTCAGTTACTCAGCAATAGACAAAGACTCTGAGATGGGCCATGCTGTACATCAGATTTAAATTTTCATATAAAAGTTCTAATAGAATTGTTTAAATGTACATTAATACTTGGTGTGGTTTGGTAAACTGTAAGTAAATAAAGGTCACTGCCTCTGTCACTCAAATCCACGCCTCTGCAGTGTTTTGTCATGGTTTAAGGTTTCACAAGGTTGGGAAAGTTTCCAAGTCAGTCAAGGTTCAGTGCCACCTCAATTCTAATTTTGCTGATTCTGTTTTGAGAATTCATGGGTTAGGATTATATTTAAATATGTCTAAGGTGTTTTTCTGTCACTGTGTGGTATGAAATATCAGTCTATATGAATTTAAAGAGCTGGCAAACAACAGATTCACAATTCCAAAATAAAGGGACTTCATCTATCAGGTCATAGGTTAACCAGCTGAAGCCATGTGTGTTTCCTTTAGCTGTCACTGGCAGCTGTCCTTAGTTTTTGACTGAAATAAGTCCCACAGGAGTCCGACCTTAACATAAAAACAGTCACTTTCATCACAGGAAAAGTTGGATTTCAGGCCCTTTTATCAAACATTTGAACTTCTTTGGTACCTCTGGACATCATACCAAAAGATATAAAAATATATAATAGCTAATAGATTAAAAAATAAAATAAAATGTCAAACGGTGTAGTTTAAAACCATAAGTAACTAAATAGTATAGTATATAGCTATAGTGCTGAGAAATGTGTTTTTTCACCTCCCACTGGCTGTTTACTGTAAAAGCTTGTGCCGAATCTCTCATTTAAAGAAAATGTCATGTGAACATTGTCATCATAGTTTAGCCTGCCACCTGCAGGCTCTCAGCTATTCTACAAGTCATAATTTGTCTACAAAATGGAGAATGTAATTAATTCAAGACATAAAAGTTGGGCCAGTACTCCAGTATCTAATTAAATTTCTGCCAGGTAGCATTTAAGTATTTCTGTAGTTCCACCCAGAACTAGCAAAGTGTACCCAATAAAGTGTCCACTGAGTGTATATATTTATTTTCTATTCCATCCATTGTAAGGATCTATGTTTCACTGGGTTTTCCACGTTTAAACAATAGTGACCCAAAACAAAAGTCATCAATTCGTTTTGACAGCTGCGCTTGTAGTCCTTCCTCGGAAGATTGTAGTTTCACCTTGGCAAACGTCATCAACATGAGACGCCGAACGAACGCCGCAGTTCTCTTACGCCCTTACAAATTCTCCTTCGCCGTTTTCCGTAACTCATATCACTTGACATGGAGGTCAAATAAAGTGTTTAAAAATGAGATAGGATGTAATTTATTTATTTAACTTTTCCGCAGTGCCTGTGTTGCCCGGACATGATCGAACACAACTTCCGCTTTGTAAACCAATCAACTTTGCCTATTTTTCAGACGCGAGTATACGTGTAAACGGATTGGCTGGTTCAATTATCTTCGTCTCTTTTTGAATTTGGTGGTAGTTCACATGGGACTGTTTATTTTCTACCAGTAACTCTATGTTCTGTAGACAGGCAGGCGTATCTTCAGACACTAATAAGTTACACTATAGACTACTGCTGTACAAGTGGCAAGAATTGCTAACCTTTAAGGTGAGTCACGATTTTTACTACCGTTCGACTTAATAGACGTTACTGAACCCTTTGGCAGCTCTATTTCGGCGCAACAGTAGGTCGACAGCTGGTGTTTTAAAACATTATGGTCAAAATAACTTTGCTGAAACATAGTGTAGATATTATTGTCAGGTACTTGTTAAGTAGTAGTAGTAGTTAAAAAAAATGTCGTGCAACAATGTTAATCGGTGCTAATTGGATAGCTTGCAAGTATTTAACATAGCTTTTTGTTTTATAGTTTCCTGAGTGCAAATCCCTTTTTTGAATAAAGGGTCAGCCAAGATGGAGATGAACTTGGCTGTAAAGTCTTTACTTTCCTGGGTAAGTTGAGTTATGTTAGTGGACATTAGGGTGAAATGATTGCACTAATGTTTAAAGTTTTAATCACCCTTTTTTGTTTTGTTTTTTTCTCTCCAAACTATAATTTTATAGGTGAACAGTTTAAAACTCTGTGACTCAGAGCTGACCATCGATGACTTGCAGGACGGAGTGATCTTACTTAGACTTGTTTATATGCTGTAAGTATGCTGGCAATGCGGTGTAATGTTTAGCCTGTGTAAACAGGGAGTGTCAGCGACTGACAGGGTGTTAAACGTGTTGGTTGTTTGTTTTTTGGAAAATATAGAGCTCCTACTTCCTTGCACCTCTCATCCGAGAAGCTTCTCGGAAGCTTCTCGGATGAGAGGTGAAACGTCTTCAAGTAACTTAAGAAGTCCAGACGCTTTTCTTTGCAAGCTCCTTTGACTACGATGACCTGGATGACTGAGAACCTTCACAGACATTTATTTTATTATATTTTTCTTCTTTTTCTTTGTCATTTTAGGAAAAAGCAGCCCATCCCCTGTCTAAATGATGCAACTGAGGATCGGTTCAGAGTCATTGCAGAGTTTCTAGAAAGTGAGTTTCTTTCTGGAGAGACTTCTTAAAAGAGTGTCTTTTTGTACGAGTGTGATATTAATACAAGATATATGTAATAAAGGCTCCAGCTGGTGAATCACAGCACTTTAGCTTATTGAGGCTTATGTTGTTCCAAACCAATGACTGAAGTACATATGATCAAAGGGGATTTCATGGTCTGATTGGGCTTAAACGGCTTTGTATTTCAGAAAGTGTTAATGTAGGAACTTGGAGCTCATCCTTACTTTAAACACATTGTTTTCTCTCCCTTAAATAACAGATATTTTGCACCTTTGGACACACCCTGCATTCCTGGGTGGGATCCAGATTGTGTCCTGGTAGATGGACTGCTACTTATTTAACACTTTTCTACTGTTACAGGGCGTGTTTTAGCCTACAAGCCAAATTCACTCATTCATATAACACACATTAACTCTAGTGGATAAGTGTTAGTTTGGGGTTTAGTGTCTTGCACAAGGACGCTTCAGTATGTGAGCAACTGACCTTCATGTTTAAAGATCATTGGCTTTTCTTCCTGAGCCTCACTGTAAAACTTCCTCACTGGTACCATTTTTATTATAATGGGAGATAAATATATTACTGACCTGAGCATGTGTGTGTTTTGTTGTTTAGGGGACTGCAGATTTAATGCAAGCAAGAGCTCTTCTCTGCGTTGGGACCACATTAGAGATGGCATCAGCCTAACAGCTGAAATTTCAAAGGTAAAAAACTTCCTCTTTGTTTTTCATTTTTCTTTTCAAAGGCCCAAAGAAAACACTTATCATACTTTTTTATTGCAACATCACTAGGTGCTTTTGTTGCTTGTATACCATGATATGATGAATGACCACTGCACTCTGAACATGTTGGACTGCGATGTGGAGGTAAGCTGGGAGCTGCTGGTGTATTGTGGTCACACTTATACATCTCATCTCATTTCTCATGAGTTGCTTGGTGCTATTATTTTAATTCTGTGTGTATTTATTTATTCCCACTCTGCTAGCGGGAACTAGCACACCTAACTAGTTCCTTTGTGATGGAGAGTGAGGGTTGTGTTTATTTGAGCGAGGAACTTGACGCTCATCTGAGAGGAAAACGTAAGTCGCAAATATGTCACTTTTGTTTTTCCCCTCCGAGGTAGACTGTAATAAGAAGTTTTTATCAAAACAAACTAACTAATTGGCTTGACTCTATTGTGCAATATTTGTCTCAGATTTGACTTTCTCTCAAGAAATATTTGAGCAATCAGCAGCCACCTCTGGTACCAACATGTCAAGCATCTCTTCCTTCTTGGGTGATGAGTCTCCTTTCTTCCACCGAACCAGTAGAATTAAATTTGTGGACATAGAAACTGTGGCTTCTTCTTCAGTCAGGTACCAGATATGACTTAAATATTTTCAGGTTATGTTGCAATATTCATTTTTATTCAGTTTTATGGATTATGTTAATCCAATCTTCCTTGTATTACATTATCTTATAATATACATGATGAAAATCCACAGGTTGTCATCATTTCGTTGAAAATCTTTACCTTTCTGATCTGCTTAATTCACACAGCAGTTCTCCTCTGGAGGATGTAATGAACACACCGAAATTTCAGCTGAGGAAAATGCAGCGACAGATGATCAAGGAGCGAGACTACCGAGATAGTTTGGAGAGGGAGCTGGCCAGCAAGATTGCGCTCATTGAACAAAGAGGTACTATCTGTTGAATGTATGGTTTGCATTTTGTTAGACTTGAGAAATGGCAAAATTCTTGTTAAAGCACCACTCATATTTGTCTAAGATTGTCTGCATTTTCATTTAAGCTTTTTATACTTGTCATGTTTTCAGTAGACTTTGCTTCGTGCTTTGGTTTTCTTTCTCTCTCTTTCCCAGAGTCTCGCATTAACCAGTTGCAGTACCGCCTGGATAAACTAAAGGAAGAACAAGGTGATCAGGAGCATGTTACCAAAGAACAAATTAATGAGCTTGAGATCAAGAACGATGAGTAAGTACCCAAGAACAGTGATTTATGAACCTATAACTAGGGATGGGAATTGATGAGATTTTCACGATTCCGATTCCTTTTTCGATTCTGTTTAACAACTTGATTCTTTATCGATTCTTGTTTTTAAAAAAGAAGAACACACAGGTCGATTAGCTTATAACTTTGTTTTATATCTTCTCTTTGAACAAGATAGAAATTTAGGAGTAACATGGCCTTACAAACCCAACAGTGAGATCTTAAGAGATTCACAGCCTAGGCTTCCAGTTAATTGAAACAGTGGGAACTGGTTCTCAACAAGAACCGGGTTTCGATTCCCATCCCTACCTATAAAATCATCATTTTAATATCACAACCATAACATCTAATTTCTATCCACAAAAGTTACACAATATTTTGTCATCATGTTGCCTAGCAACCCCCTAACAACAGACTAAATTCTGTACAACAGACTAATAGTCTGTACTTCAAGACCTTTGTACAGAAGTGTTTTAAAGTAAATTTTTTATTTATTTATTTATTTTCCAGCTTACAAAAGCGTCTTAATGAGATGCTGAAGCAAAATAAAGACCTCAAGACAAACACTTCACTCATGGAGCGCAAAGTGGATGAGCTTGCAGATGAAAACGGTGTGCTTTCTTCTCAGGTAATAACATGCAAAATATTCTGGGTTTTTTTTTTTTTGTTTGTTTGTTTTTAAGTTGTTGTTGTTTGTTTTGTTTTTTTTTGTTTTTTTTCTTGAGGGTCTCTTAATTACACTAAAGATCTAATGAACGTGTCTGCTGTTACGGCTTCCAAACCTTTTGAGGCAAATCTGTGATAGTGAATTCTCACTCATGACAGGATTCAGTAAAGGTCATGTGCATTTCATGTTTCTGGAGAGTGTTTCACTAGTAGAAACCTTTTAAAGTATTGAGGAGTTTTTTGTGTCAGTTTTGAGATCAAAACATGGATTTGAAAAACCTTTTTAATTTTTAAAAATTTTTTCAGGTGAGAGCTGTGTGCTCACAGCTTGCCGCCTTTGAGACAGAAGTTGGTAGACTGACGGAAAGTCAAGCGTCCGCTCAGGAGGAGTGGAGAAACAAAAGAAACAATCTACAGTCTGAGCTCAACCAAGCAACTGCTCAAAAGGTATAGATTCACAAGAGATATTGTTTAACATGCATTCCTGTGTCATTCAGAGAAATCTGAATGCAAAAAGGACAATGAATAGGAAACATCATGTCTGTTGAAGACTCAGAAGAAAAGCACATTTAAATGCTCATGTCTGCCTATTTTATTATAAATAAAGAAGAGTAGTTATATTAGTTTTGTGTTGACTGTAAGTAATCTTATTTCTCCATTGCTCTCATTAAATGTTGGGTTTTATACAAATTAATTTACTGTAAGCTGCTCCCTTTCTCATTTCTCAGGAACTCCTTACAGAACAAATTCAAATCCTTCAAGGAAAGATTTCCTGTTTGGAGGATGAAATAAGCAAGGCCAGTAAGGATGAAGTTGGGGAAAATATGGGACCCATAGTAGAGGTAATTATATGTAAAAGCTAACAATTTTAAAAGCAAACTTAATTGAAAATATAAAAAATTTTATAAAATATTATGGTAAGCGATAAACATCTTGAATTGTTTATTTTCAGTTAGGGCTGCTCGATTATGGCAAAAATGATAATCACGATTATTTTCACTGAAATTGAGATCTCGATTATTTGACGATATTTTTTTAACAATAACAATGTGTTGAATAATGACTTTAAAGATTGTCAAAAAATAATATAAAATAGTGTGAAAATACTGATAACAGTGCAAATGTTTGCAATATAAAAAATAAATGAAAAATGTAAACCTCTATGTTTAGTGAACTTTGCAGTGTTGCTCTGTGGTGCAGCTACGACACTGTAGCAAAGTTTACACACTGTGTCTACTTGATCCACGTCTGACTCCGCCAATCCATAATGTTTCCACACCACTGAAGTTTTTTACCTCTCTTTTCAACCAACGGCAGTCACTCTCCTCTCCAAATAACTTCTGCTGAGCTTTCCGAGCATCCCTCGGGTCCTCTTAATCAGCGGTCCCTGAACCGGTACCGGTCCGAGTCGTTTGGTACCGGGCCGCGAGAGTTGAGGCTCAGGTGTGAAATGTATAGTTTTCAGGGTTTTTATCGTTTTTCAGCATTATTTTGTTATCATTTTTATCATTTACTCGGTTTTCCTTGGTCTTTTCACGTGTGGTATGAATAAATTTTCTTTTTTTCGGTACTGGTACTAGTTTTATTTTGTTGTATTTATACGCGACACCTTAAAGGCCGGTCCATGAAAATATTGTCGGGCATAAACCGGTCCGTGGCGCAAAAAAGGTTGTGGACCGCTGCTCTGACACGTGTTCGAAATGCAGAGAGGTGTGCTCAGTCATTTTTAATGATCGTTGAAAGCCCAGATCATAATCGTGATTAAAATTCGATTAATTGAGCAGCCCTATTTTCAGTTTAAGTTTGGAAATTTTATTTTCTACTTCATTGATTATAATTGTTGGTTCTTCTTAAATTGCCAGAGAGAAATGTTGGAGACTGAAATCAGGGGTTTGAAGAATGAGCTAGAGACTACACATTTCTCCCTGAAAAAGGCTGAGCTGGAGATTCATGCTAAAACTCAGCAACTGGAGGAATGCCACCAAGAAATTAAGGAGATACATGAGCAGAGGGGAGTTCTTCAAGAAGAGATCAGAGTCCTTAAGCTTCAGCTTGAGCAGGTTGAGGAGCAAAAAAATGAGCAGACAGACAGGCTACAACAGCATATTGCTGCTTGTGAACAAGAAATTAAAAAACTACAGGAAATTAAGCAAGCAAAGGAAGATCTTCTTCATCAGACTGAAGAAAAGGTGAACGATCTTGAGACAAAGTTAGCTGCTGCTACTTCTCTGTTGGCTGTTAAAGAGCAACAAATTAACAGTCTCAAAGATGAAGTTGACATTCTTACACATGAAACTAACAAAAACAAAGATGAAATTCAAGCCAAAGAAGAAGAGCTTGCCAAGTTACTTCTTGAGAAGTCTAATGTGCAAGAAACTCTCAGTGACAAAATCCAGATCTTAACAGCTCAAGTGGAAGACCTTAGTTCATCTCTCAAACAGGCGGAGCAGGAAATTCACATGAAGCAAGACTTGCTAGATAAAACCACACAAGAGAATGTCCAACAAATAGAGCTACTTCAACAACAAAGTGCTGAACATATGGAAGCACTCGAGAAGCAGAAGACAGCATCTCGAGAAGAAATCAAGAGGCTAAATGCAGATATTCATGCTAAGGAAGAACAGATGGCTCTGCTAGAGACTGAGGCCTCTACATGCTCTGAATTGTTGCAGCAAGAGCTTGATGATCTGAACAACCAAATAAAGAGCATGACCCATTCTCTTGAGATGGCCAAGGAGCACGCTCAAGCCAGAGAAGCTGTAATGGCCAAACAGCAAGAGGAAAGCACTTTGCAGATTGAAGAGCTTGGGAAACACATTTCAGTTCTTGAAGCAGAAGTGAATCGACTGAAGCAGGAAATCCAGACTAAAGAGGCTGAGGTAGATGAGATGAAGACCAACAACTACATGGAGTCAGAGGCTCTACAGAATGAGATCCAAAGTCTTCAGGGTCAAGTGCAGTGTTTGAATGAATCACTGAAGACTGCAACAGAGCAGGCTCAGGTTAAAGAAAACCTGCTGAAACAGAAGGAATTTGAGTTTTCTCAGGAAAAGGACTCTCTACAAAACATGATGATGACCTCAGAAGATGAGGTAAAGCGGCTGAGAGAGCAGGTCGAGGCCAAAGAAGAACAACTGGTCACACTTAGAAAAGAGGGCTCAATCCACTCTGACATGCTAGAACAAGAGATCGAAACTCTGAAAAACCAAGTATGTGACACGAGAGAGTCTCTCACAAAGGCAGAGGAGAAGTTTCAAGAGCAGCTAGTTGTGCTTGAAAAACAGGAGCAGGAGAGCGTCGTCCAGAAAGAGCTGTTGCAGCGACAACTGTTTGCCTCTGAGGAAGAGATGAAGCGAATGAAAAATGAGGTCCAGGCAAAAGAGGAACAGATGGCTCTGCTAGAGACTGAGGCCTCTACACGCTCTGAATTGTTGCAGCAAGAGCTTGATGATCTGAACAACCAAATAAAGAGCATGACCCATTCTCTTGAGATGGCCAAGGAGCACGCTCAAGCCAGAGAAGCTGTAATGGCCAAACAGCAAGAGGAAAGCACTTTGCAGATTGAAGAGCTTGGGAAACACATTTCAGTTCTTGAAGCAGAAGTGAATCGACTGAAGCAGGAAATCCAGACTAAAGAGGCTGAGGTAGATGAGATGAAGACCAACAACTACATGGAGTCAGAGGCTCTACAGAATGAGATCCAAAGTCTTCAGGGTCAAGTGCAGTGTTTGAATGAATCACTGAAGACTGCAACAGAGCAGGCTCAGGTTAAAGAAAACCTGCTGAAACAGAAGGAATTTGAGTTTTCTCAGGAAAAGGACTCTCTACAAAATATGGTGATGACCTCAGAAGATGAGGTAAAGCGGCTGAGAGAGCAGGTCGAGGCCAAAGAAGAACAACTGGTCACACTTAGAAAAGAGGGCTCAATCCACTCTGACATGCTAGAACAAGAGATCGAAACTCTGAAAAACCAAGTATGTGACACGAGAGAGTCTCTCACAAAGGCAGAGGAGAAGTTTCAAGAGCAGCTAGTTGTGCTTGAAAAACAGGAGCAGGAGAGCGTCGTCCAGAAAGAGCTGTTGCAGCGACAACTGTTTGCCTCTGAGGAAGAGATGAAGCGAATGAAAAATGAGGTCCAGGCAAAAGAGGAACAGATGGCTCTGCTAGAGACTGAGGCCTCTACATGCTCTGAATTGTTGCAGCAAGAGCTTGATGATCTGAACAACCAAATAAAGAGCATGACCCATTCTCTTGAGATGGCCAAGGAGCACGCTCAAGCCAGAGAAGCTGTAATGGCCAAACAGCAAGAGGAAAGCACTTTGCAGAGTGAAGAGCTTGGGAAACACATTTCAGTTCTTGAGGCAGAAGTAAATAGAATGAAGCAGGAAATCCAGACTAAAGAGGCTGAGGTAGATGAGATGAAGACCAACAACTACATGGAGTCAGAGGCTCTACAGAATGAGATCCAAAGTCTTCAGGGTCAAGTGCAGTGTTTGAATGAATCACTGAAGACTGCAACAGAGCAGGCTCAGGTTAAAGAAAACCTGCTGAAACAGAAGGAATTTGAGTTTTCTCAGGAAAAGGACTCTCTACAAAATATGGTGATGACCTCAGAAGAAGAGGTAAAGCGGCTGAGAGAGCAGGTCGAGGCCAAAGAAGAACAACTGGTCACACTTAGAAAAGAGGGCTCAATCCACTCTGACATGCTAGAACAAGAGATCGAAACTCTGAAAAACCAAGTATGTGACACGAGAGAGTCTCTCACAAAGGCAGAGGAGAAGTTTCAAGAGCAGCTAGTTGTGCTTGAAAAACAGGAGCAGGAGAGCGTCGTCCAGAAAGAGCTGTTGCAGCGACAACTGTTTGCCTCTGAGGAAGAGATGAAGCGAATGAAAAATGAGGTCCAGGCAAAAGAGGAACAGATGGCTCTGCTAGAGACTGAGGCCTCTACACGCTCTGAATTGTTACAGCAAGAGCTTGATGATCTGAACAACCAAATAAAGAGCATGACCCATTCTCTTGAGATGGCCAAGGAGCACGCTCAAGCCAGAGAAGCTGTAATGGCCAAACAGCAAGAGGAAAGCACTTTGCAGATTGAAGAGCTTAGGAAGCAAATTTCAGTTCTTGAAGCAGAAGTGAATCGACTGAAGCAGGAAATCCAGACTAAAGAGGCTGAGGTAGATGAGATGAAGACCAACAACTACATGGAGTCAGAGGCTCTACAGAATGAGATCCAAAGTCTTCAGGGTCAAGTGCAGTGTTTGAATGAATCACTGAAGACTGCAACAGAGCAGGCTCAGGTTAAAGAAAACCTGCTGAAACAGAAGGAATTTGAGTTTTCTCAGGAAAAGGACTCTCTACAAAACATGATGATGACCTCAGAAGATGAGGTAAAGCGGCTGAGAGAGCAGGTCGAGGCCAAAGAAGAACAACTGGTCACACTTAGAAAAGAGGGCTCAATCCACTCTGACATGCTAGAACAAGAGATCGAAACTCTGAAAAACCAAGTATGTGACATGAGAGAGTCTCTCACAAAGGCAGAGGAGAAGGTTAAAGTCCTTCAGGCAGAGTTGTCAGTTGTCAAGACACTTGGAGCTGATAAAGACCAAAGTATAAACACACTCAGAGAGGAGGTCACTGCTCAAGCTAACGTGATACAAAAAACAAAAGCTGAAGCTGAAGCTAGTGAGAAACTTGTGGCTGAGATACAACAGGAGAGCTCCAAACAGACCTATGTTCTCCAAAATGAGATCCAGGATTTGAAGGAGGAGGTGGAAAGGCTTCTGGCCAAAGAGCAGAAATTAGTTGAAACTCAGCAAGAGTCTGCTCAGCAAATAAACCTCCTTCAGCAACAGCTTGCATCCGCAGCTGCAGAGTTGACACAACATGAAGCAACACAAGTTACTAACATCAGGTTGAAAGAGACTGTGCAGGAGATGCAGGTTACCACACTCAAAGAGAAGGATACTCTTGTCCAAGAAAAACAGGTGCTTTTGGTTAGAATACTCCAGGCAGAAAAAGATCACGAAGCCATAGTTTTTGAGAAGGAAAGACTTCTCCAAGCCAACCTGGCCCTAAAGAGGGAGAATGTAGCCTCACGGAAGCTTGAGTCTGTACTGCAGCAAGAGCTGGAAATACTGAAAATGGAGAATGAGAAATTGCTGAAAGAGCAAGAGAAAGCAGAAGAAATTGAGCTAATCAAGAGAGATCTGCAGGAACAGCTTGCCACTAAATCAGAGGCTGCTGAACACTACAAGGCTCAGGTTGGTGTGACCAGAAACTGTTACAAAATATATTTTACTGCTTGTGACTGAACATCTGTTTGGATTTGTTTGAGAATGTAATCATTTTTATTTCTGCTTATCTCTTAATATAATTGTTTTGTTCATGAGAATTTTTTTGTGTGTGAGATAAATGATCTGGACTAGAAAATTAAGATACGTGTTTTGAATACCACAGATGGAGAAGGCTGCAAATCATTACAACAGCAAGAAGCAGCTTCTCCAGAAAAGCCAAGAAGAAGTGGATGCTCTCAAGCTTTCTCTTGAAGCTAAAGAGCATGAAATGCACACTATGATAATGGAAAAGAAAGTACTTCAGCTTGATTTGGACAAGGCTCAAGCCAATGAGAAGACACTTTCACACAGGGTGGCCAGCTTGGAGGCACAGGTTAGTATTGCAGTTTAAAGCATGACGATTGAACACAATAAGCAGAAACATAGAAGAAATTAAAACCACACCTGAATTTTATTTTATTTTTTTAGCATTTTAACCCGTTCTGTCACAATTTCTTTACTTTCAGCTTGCCTGTGCTGACCAGAATTTAAGAGTACAGAATAAGATTCATGCCAATGGAGGCGGTGCAACAAGCTCGTGTTTCTTTGAGGTGCCTTACTCAAACTCGGGGGTTTGCACTAGAGCACAGGTGAAGAGAGCTATGAGCTCAGATAGCCTGGACCAGAGCAGTATGGAAGACTCTCTAAACTCCACAAGGTTAGTGTTGGGTTAAGGTTTCTCAGAATCTTTTTATAGGACTTGTTCACCAAACAGACGGGAAAATAAATTAAACGCACAGAACAAAGTTAAAAGATTGGTGTTCTAAAGAAGAGGAGATGCAAAATCTTTTAAAAGCTGTGACTTGAGTAACAGATAACTGAAGCCCACCTTGTACAGGATGGCTCCAGCTGAAGTCAGTGTGTTCTTGGACTAAAATGCATTACATGACTCACACGATGATGCAGTAATGCATTACAAATGGAAAACAATCCAAATGGGATGACAAATTGATATTCATGTTTCAGGGGCTGTGGCCCATAAATTCTGACATGCCTCCACTCTGTGTTCCTACACACATCCTCAAACTTCATTTCAATCCCAACGACACACCTGTGATGTTTCATGACTACTGTAGTACTGACAAAACACAATATGTCCCACTAGACACACAAACACCTGCCAGAATTCTGAATATCACCTTTGTGGTAGTTCTCCCAAAAACAACTGTATACATGCAGACACTCACTGTGTGGAAGGTGAAAGTGTTATATTGGATTTGGAAAGATTTAGTGGGGGTAGTGATTAATGCACATTGTTTTCTTTCTTTTTTTTAAAACAAACTTTTTCAGAAAACTCTCAGCGCCCGATGAATGCAGCACACCACTTGTTCGCAGTTCAGAACGCTTGGCAGCCAAACGCCGGGGTCTAAAGGCCGAGTCACTGGAAACTTTGTACTTTACTCCTATAAACACCAGACAAGTCAAGAGGTGCTTTTGTGGTCATACTCCTTACGCATTTTTAGCTCTAGATTGGTTGTGATCTTACCAAGACGTGTTTTATTATCAAGACAAAATTTAAAAATTAGCAGTGATTATATCTTGTCCCCTAATATTGTGCGATTACGAAACACTTTGCAACTCTTTACTCCTTTAAGGAGTGAGTACTTTATTTCCTGGTTACTGTAGTAAAATAATTTATTATTCAGACCCTTTAACATTTGTTCTTAAATGTAATTTTAATGTATAAAACTGAATAGGACACAATTGTACAGATAATTGTGTCTAAATTGTATTTCATGTATTAGAAACAATACTGATTTAATTGCTTTCAAAATCTTTCATTTTCAAATTCCTTTTCTTTCTCAGGACCGGTGCAGAGGAAATTATGGATTCAACCCAAAAAAATCCAACTTCATCAGTCAAACGCCGCAGAACCACACAGGTTATAAACATCACTATGACCAAGGTGGAGGAAACTCACACACGCTTACTGCATGTTCACAATAATACACACTGATAAAATTGGTTTATTTTTAATATTCTCTGTATTTTTTTTTTAAATTACAGGTGTTTCAACTTCACTATTTATGTAATTTAGTCACTATGCTGATGAAGGTTTACTAGTATTATTGTTATTGTTTCATTTAACCAGTTTCTAAAATTTCTCTGATGATGCCTTTCTCTAACAAGGAATCACTGTCTCAAGTTTTAACTATCATACTAAAAGATTAGTTGACTAATAGATCTTTGTGTACATCACTTGCTTGTTGGCAGCACATAATAATTCACCGCAGCACCTTAACAATACATTTAAGTGGTCCAACGTTTCCCCTTCTAAATATCCCAAAACTTCCATCCGAGTATTACTGTAGTTGTGACTGTTGATTTCTGATCTGTAGAAGACCCCGGGCTGCGGTGAAGCTGATGAGACCTCCTACAGCCTGGCTTCAGCTCGCTCCCAGCCAAACCTCGCTAATGCAAACTCTGCCCGGCCCGTGTCTATGGAGCTGTTTGACACTCCCGCCAGAAGGACCAGCTCTGCCAGCGACCAACTCATTGGGCTTCCAGGGTACAGACGGAGCACCATCCATGTACAGCGTGAGTAAAAGGATCAGTTTTCCCTCCTGAAAGGAAAGAGTTGCAGAATCGTGATGGAACTTCATTTAAGTTTTAAATCGTAATTCTAATAAGCTTTCAGAGAGAAACAGCATTATTTATAATGCAGTTATAACATTATTAAATTACTGTATAGTTGGAGCAACTCAGGCTGCTTGATTATGGAAGAAATATAATTGCAGTTATTACAATTGTAAAGATTATTTAATTAAAATTATTTCAACTAACCACCTCCCTTTACTAGTTATAATTCACTTTTTATATAACTAAATTTATATAAGTATGTAACTTGTATTTGTGAGTGATTTCAAGCTAAATTTCTGTTACTGATGTGGCCCACCTGCAGTACCTTTGTGGCCCATAAGGGGACGCTGGCCCACACTTTGGGAATCACTGTTTTTGATGGAAGCTGAAATTGGAGCTGCACGTTCATAGTAACAACTGTAAAACCTGAGATTTGTGTGTATGTGTAACTGTTTTGCGTCATCTGTTTCTTTTCAGCCACCAGTACCTTCTGCGTTGGAGCAGAAAACGAGCCTGATGGTGGACCTGAAGACTGGCAGAGGATTGCGGAGCTCCAGTCCAGGAACAAGGCCTGTCTGCCTCACCTAAAAAGCAGCTACCCTGTTGAGTCTGAGGTGATAAGAAAAGAACTTGGATGCCAAATTTCTCAAATAGTGTGTTGGGTGGCTGTAGCTCAGGTGGCAGAGCAGGTCAGCTACTAATCAGAGGGTCGGTGGTTCGATCCCAGGCTGCCTCCTGGCTGCATGGCTGCATCCAAATATCCTTGGGCAAGATACTAACTCCATGTTTGCCTACTGGTGGTGGTCAGAGGGCCCGGTGGCGCCAGTGTCTGGCAGCCTCGCCTCTGTCAGTGCGTCCCAGGGCAGCTGTGGCTACAACGTAGCTTGCCATCGCCAGTGTGTGAATGTGTGTGTGTGGGTGAATGACTGAATGTAGTGTAAAGCACTTTGGGGTCCTTAGGGACTGAGTAAAGCACTATACAAATGCAGGCCATTTACCATTTGTTCCTAATTAAACGTCTGTATACTGAATGCACTAAAATCTTTCTTCTTCTAGACTGGAAGGAGCGGTCCATTGGTTTTTACAGACGAAGAGCTGCGTACAGGTGACCCGTCAGACACAATCCGCCGAGCATCCATGGTTCCAAGCCAGCTGCGGGATTCCCTCATCTCACATCGACAGTCACTCATGTTGGGGCAGGTGGGTGCTGCTGCCGGCACTCGCTCCGACCGTCTGTCCTTGATGCCAGGCCAGCTACCCTCAAGGACCGCCAGCTCCTATCAGCTGAGGAGCCCAAAAGGCACAAAGCAGCCTTCATCCACATTGTCCCTACACCAAACTTCACCTGAGGTTGGTTGAACCATGAACAGGAAACTGTGGTATACTATTACTGGTGGATAGTATATTGTATAGTTATTGAATAGTCATCCAAAATAAGTAGAAAAATGTTTAAAATGTAACTTTATGTTTGCTTTTTATCTCAACCTGAAGAAAAAGATGAAAGCCAGCTGCTTCCCTCGTCCACTCACCCCGAAAAACAGGAGCGTGAGCAGTGGTCCTTCGAGCTCTACTCTTCGTGCTGCCCTCAGCCCAGTGAGTGTAATTTTAGCTCACACAAAATTGTGACAAAACTTTGTTTTTGAGCGCTTTGCTAAGTTTCACTTGCATTACTCTCAGGCTGAGCGGAGGCAGTCAATGATGTTTACCATCGAAAACACCCCTAAAAGCAATAACTACCTGAAGAAACATCTGAACAAGCTGCGCAGCTCTGCACGTAAATCCCCAGGCGACAGCTTGAAGAAGTCGCCTGCTCAGACGAGCGCACGCAAGCACCAGGAAAAAATGCCATCGGGGAGTTCACGTGGTGGTGTGAGACAAGCTGGGAGAACTGGAAACTTTAAATCACCTCAAGTGGTAACGAAAGGATCGAGGAAATCTCCCCAAGCTGCCAGCAGATCTGCAAAGTCTCCTGGATTGACAGCCAGCGCTCGCAAGGTAAACATCTGACACTTCAGTGGTTTATGAAAGGACAACAGCACAGGGTGTGGTTTTTATTTCTGACATGTGCAACAACATTTTATTGTATTCAGATGTTATTAAATCTTGTTTTGTAGCAGTGTTGCTGAAATGCATTTTCCTGAGTTTTGGTTTAATCTTTGTCTTTTTCTTTTCTTTCAAACTTACAGATGATGCGAAGGATGAAAGTCTGATGACTGGTCAAGCCCCCCACATCCGTTCACCCACAAATAGTTCATCGGGACTTTGTTTTTAACAGTTCATCATTCTTTTTCCATGTTTGTTTTGCTTCTTAATCTTTGTATTATATGCACATGTTTCTCAGTTAATCGATTTTAAATGGTATTTCAGGAAATGGATTTTTTTTTTTTTACCTGCAATTGTATTTTGATTTTTTGTAAATAAATTTCTGAATGATTTGAGAGTTCAGGCGCTTCATTTCACTGGTGGTGCCATAAATGGCCAGAACAGAAGCCTAAATTGTTTTGTTTTTTTACTGATTATGGGATTTTACTGAGCCATGTAATGAAAGTAACTTTTCTTTCTACAGATCATATTTTACATGTGAGGGCCGTGATGCCGACAACAGGTTTAGTTTGTTAACCCCAAACACAGGAAGCGTTTCTGTTCCAGAAACAGAGCTAACTTTAACAGTTACTCCGGCAAATAAATCAAATATCACATTTAAATTTAAATGTGGGTTTAAAATCAAAACTATGCTCTCTGTTGACTGTTTGCCTAACTGCAACACAAGTGTACAAACTCAGTAAAAACCAAGCAGAGTATTACTAAAGGAGGGAAGCATTTGTACATAAAAAAAGAAACGTTAAGTGCAGATCCATATATGTCTCAACTGATGTTTTAACAAAACCTTTTGAAGGAAATTTCCATCCCGGGTTTCCTCCGTGGCGTGAGCGATAAGCAGTTTTGTCCTTTCCTTATAAGACTCCTAATTATTCAAAGTAACACTCAAGTATGCCGTTCAGCGGGTTAGTTACAGCGCCGGGAGCAGTTAGGAGAACAAAGTGACACAGACTGTTCAGATTGCTCTCCCACAATCAACTCAAAGGTTTATTAAGTACACAACAGCTTATATAGAGGAAAAAGGTTCGTGTGTCAGCAGGTTCTCAGTTCAAACCGGTACAGACCAAATAAGGAAACGTCTTCCTGCCTTGTGAGCAAAGAAGTATCCTTTGTGTAGTTTATCTCTTCAGTTACAATTTATGATCATCCCAGCAAAATACACTCCTAGACATAGAATACAGAGTTCTTTCATTAGTGAATTCTGAAACAAACCACCTGGCTTTTTAACAAGCTCTTTTCTAAAAGATAAGGAAGGGAGGATGGGAGTAAGGAAGTGGTCTCGTCTCTGTGGTATTTTCGACCTTGGGGTACCAGCCTGTGATTCTTACACATCAATTCTTGGGTCAGAGAGAAAGAGAAAAACAACTAGTAAATGGGCCTTATTGAGTAACAGTTTTCCTGTATAATATCACAATAAAACAATATCCTGTAAATGCTACCATGGTATCAAAATATCACAACACCTTTTTAGTACAAATAGCACACAGATTACTGCTGCTGGATCCTAAGAGTCACAGCAACAACAGACTGTAATGTCTGCTGAGGTCTCAGCAACAAGAACTAAACAGCCCTGACTCATGTCTGCACTTTAAGACAAAAACATAGTCTGCAGGTTAGAAATGAATCACAAATCAAACAATTTGGCCCAAGTTCAGACCAAGAAGACACCTTTTGGTACACAACTGTTCATGTTGCACAGCAGCGATCAGAGCTCTGTTGTTGTAAAGGAACCACTTGTGATATTGTAAAAGGCACCGTATGTATATGATGTACTGACTTTATTAAACAGATCAGAGGACAAATCATGGCTTGGCAAACAGTTTTTCATCAAAGATGCTGTGGACAGCACCCTGCAGCACGTCTGTCCTCTGACTTATACTTGCTCTGACTCTGGAGGAGCTGATCAGCACTAACTCATCAGGAAGCTGTATGGATATCCATGGTACTTGGCTCTGAAGATCGACAGCAACCAACTGAAGAACAGCATAACTAGACCGATACCTGCAACACACATAACTTTTTTTTTTTTCTGGAGACATAAATGGTGTTTATTGTGTTTTGTTTTTATAAGGGACAGACATGACTGGGGGATAGGACAGGGAGAAAGAATGAAAGAAAGAGAGGGAGAGAGAAAACCAAAGGGGAGAAGAGACGGTGAGAAGGGGGAGAAGAAAGAAAAAAACAAACAAACAAAAAAACAAAACACCTGGGTCACCTGTATGGAGAAAAAAAACAGAAGAGAAAGCAAACAACAAAGAGCAACATAATAAAAAAAAACCCAGCACCATCACAATAAACTAGCTAGCAGTAGATATCAGTAGATACTAAATAATAAACGATATTGTGCAGCACCCAAGATAGACAGCGCACAATGTGCTTTGAGGCAGCAGCCAAGAAAGCTGTAGTCCGCGTCTGTGAATACCCGTGTGTGCACCTGTGTGCATACCTGTGTGGATCAGCATGCTTGCATTCCAAAGGTTTCTCCATGTAACGATCTGCTAGGGAGTGTGGGGGGGCCACAGCCCCGTCCTCCAGGGTATGAAGCAGGTATGGAGGAGATCAAAACTCCAGACATCCAGAGGCCCCCAGAACACAAGAGACCAAGGAAGACCAACAGAGGGGCAGCCGCGCCACTGTCCCAGTAAGAGCTGAGGAGAGTCCCAGATGAGGGCTCACTCAGCAGCCGCGGAGCAGAAGCCAGGGGGAGTTGCAGTGACGCACCCGTGAGCTCTGCCGGCAGCCAGCTGCGCCTGAGTGACCGAGCCCCAGGCCGAGAGGCCGGGGGCACCCCACCTCCGAAGTGGCCCGAGCGAGCCCCAGGCTCCAGGCCCCGATAAGCGGCCGCCAAGGAGTGAGCCGGTGTGTACCTGGACGCCCATCCCCAGACACAAAGAACCACCAACACACCGACACCTGAGGGAGTCCGCCACCGGCAGGGGAAGTGGTGGTGGGTGGAGATAGGCCTCCAAACCTTGGAGGGCCTGAGATGTCCCCAGAGAGGTGGCGTCTGATACCCAACCTGACATATAGACACAGACATACAGGCACACACAGATACAAACATCCATTCCCACCCTCATGCTCTCATATGCACTCACTCCACACTCAACCAACGTGGAGACAGACATAAAGAGACGCTGTACACACGATCACACTCCCCAAGCGTACTCTACGAACCGGGTCTAGGTACCCTTGCCCCTGGAGGGGGGAACTGCACCCAGACCCAGGTGGTGTTACCCTTTTCCCTGCGGTGGGGAGAGGCAGACCGCCCCGACTCCGCAGCAGCAGGGAGGCCCCACACTCCAGACCGCAGTCGGACGGCCAACTCCTCCTAGCCCCCCCGCTCCAGCAGGCCGCAGAGAATGGGGGTGAGAGAAGCCTAAATTGTTGAGGCATGTCAGTGTCATTGACTTATTGCATTACTTATATGCACCCAATGCTTATATAATAATAATAATAATAATAATAATAATAATAATAATAATAATAATAATAATAATAATAATAAAACTGCTTAATTCACCAAAGATTGTAAGGTTTCTTACATAAAAAGTTATTATTTATGTTTTGAGATTAGCGTCCAGTGACTGCATTCTCTCTTTGATCCTGGAGTAAATGTTGGGAATTAAGATGACTTACTTTAGTACTATTACTGTTTTTAAATGTCATTGAGATCTAATATATTAAAATTTCCTACAGACATTTTATTACTGTTGTTTGTCATAAAATCCAGTATTAGATGTCCAGTAATGGACATCTCTTCATAGGCTGCAAATACTAAAACAGTGCACACTGAATAGTCAAAACAGTTCAGGTACTTAATTTCCATCAGTGTCGCTGGCTGATTGAGTGACACCAGAAACACTTCATTGTAAATGAGCTGCAGAAAGATGGCGCTGATGTCCCTGTAAACTTCATCATGGGACCCTTTTTTTTTCTTTTAAAAGCTGCCTCTAGCAGAATGTTGAACGTTGATGTCAATATATCACATATTATATGACAGTCTAAATCCAATAAATAGATTTTAAAGTGTTTACATGTGCAACTTATGTCTTTTTTTTTTGTCTTATAAGAGTTTTCATTACATTTACTTCTGTAGATGGAAACACCACTGACGGGGTGCACAAAAATGATTTTAACATAAATATAAATACATTGCATAATCATTGTTAAATTTAGCATTTCAGTTAAAGAGGATAATTAAAGACAAGTCTTACAAAGATGAGGAGGTAATGCAAATGTTAATACTTGCATTTCCATCTTCCTCCAGTGATATCTTGATCCAAAAGACGGTGTATTCTATTGACACTACATAAGAAACATTTAGAGTAGCTAGGACTACTTGGCACTCTGTAACTCTAATTTGGTGTTTTCTGAGCTTACTGGATGATCATGCATGAGCATGAGGTACACCTTGGCCCAGTGAGCTGGTATATCACAGCTCCACCTTTCCTGTAGACTCCCTTCATCTCTCTTTCTGATTGTAACACCAACACTAAAACTCAAAACAAAATTAACACTCATGTTTGAAGGATGCCTGTCCAGCTCTTCTTTATAAAATGCTTACAATTTCATTTATCAGCCACTGCAAATGCAGGTACCGATATATTAGCAGATCATCGGTTGGGCTCTAGTTCTGAGGTAACTGAAGCAGCTGTAGTGAAGAACAGAATGTGATTTGTTCTGCTGCATGTTTGCTCAGTAAGCTCTCTTCTGCGGGGGTTTTTCCTGGTTTTGAGCTAAGGCTTGTACTTGGTTTGTAGAAAATTGCTGTTAGGTGTGAGAGGGAATTCCCTTTTGACTTCATTGCGAGGTCTTGATAGTGTAATGTTAAAAGTGGTTTGAAGGGTTGCCTTGGAGACACATTCAAGGATGCAACAGTTTTTTGCCATTTATATTTTACCAGTTTTGTGGTTTTAAATGCATAAGTACCCAACTTAAGTAGCACCTGAAAACTAAGCGTGAGGGTCAGTTAGATTAGGGTTAGGCAGAGGAACAGGGCTGTGCTGTGGGGAGTTGTTGTTGTATGGGTTATTGAGCTCTGGCTGTTTTGGGCCTGTTTTGTTTTTTGTCATTTTGGGGTTAGTGCTTTTGTTTGCTGGTTATGGCTGCTATTGTTGCATCTGCATCTAGTGAAATTAGGTTAACTTTTGAGCAGTAGAAGGAACTACTGTTGTTGTGGTTGGAAATAAAATTCAACTTGAGATGAGAACGTTAAGTAAGAGCAACACAGATGCTGATGGTCACGTCTCTGTTTCTCCTGGGCCTTTACTTTCTTCT